GAGGCTTTTAGGTCACTGGGTTTTGGATATTACAGCAGATGAAAATCTTAGAACCACAGAAACTTCAAAAATGACAAATAACTCGAATCTCGCCCCCATCCTCAAAAAAGAGGAAAAAAACCTAACGATACTTCTCTAAAAAGAGTCAAACCTTTTTACGAGACCTGTTGCCAATATTAGTGCCACCGAATGATCTCATCTTTCATTCTGGCTAAATTCCAACACACAATTTCATTAACCCAGGTACTGCAGGTGATAAAACTCATTTTTCCCTAAAGAGACAGCTAAAAAGTACCAGTTATACATTTATGAAGTACCAGCAATCAAAATTATGGATTTTCTAAAAGGTTTTTAACTACTTTTATTGAAAGGAAAATCGCTGTCTCAGACTTTTGTGACACTATTGCTAATAATAAATTTTACCATTTAGACATCGCAGTAATATGGTAGACAGTGTCAATAAAAGTATGAAACAAAGATGATCCTTGTCTCTTAAGTAAGGCTTTCTGATTACACACCGGAAATTATAATGTGAAACATAAACTAAGAGCACCTTAAGATATAAAACGCAATAACGCAAGACAATGTGCCTCGCTACATATACGCCACGCTCAAAAATATTTCACCGCGCGTAGCAGGCGGGCGCTGGAGGTATTTTCTGGAAGAAGCCGAACGCTCATCCCGAGAGTAAAAATATTTATAGGCGCGTGTAAAAGTAAAAAAAAATGACACGAGCGAGGGGGAGCTCGGAAGGGGAAGGAAGCGGGGCTGTCTCAGGGATGCTACTTTTGGGTGCCTTTGCTGCCAACTCTCCCTCGAGCATCCCGGGAGCACTAGAGGGCACTGTGGGATTTGGGCCACCCCGGCCGCCGCCGTCCTGGCCACCCCCCTGCCATCTCAGCCAGGTTCATCAGGAGGCTGGAAAAGAAACGGGAACGGCATTTGAACGACAATTCTAAATAGGTGGCGGGCTCGGGAAAGAAAAATGTTTGTTTGTAACGCCGAGCGCGCAGGAGGGTCCCCTCACCGCGGTGGGCCCCCCGATGCCGGAGCATCCGGCAGCACCCTCAGCGGCACCTTGGCCGGCCGTGCTTTATGGCTGGGGGGGTTAATTGGGCCTGCAAGGAATTGGAAAAAAAAAAATAAATCTAAAGACATCTGTAGACTAGCCTTTTCTCTGCCCTTGCTACCTATTCGATTAAAAAGTCTCTGTTGTGCTAACTGCAGATGATTTCACTGCAGAACATTTTGACATGCAAATGATAGCAATTAATGCCTTTGAAACAATTTATGATTTCCGGCCTACTTCGACATGTATTAGCATATACCTGGTTTCTTTAATATACACTTTGTTTTTCCAAAACCACAAACATAGTTGCTGGAATTTCATGTGGAAGTGCTTAAGGGGTTGAAAGTTAACACCTTTGTGAGCCGAGCAGTCTCACAGTTGCTGCTAAACAAAAGCCTCTTTGTAGAAGCTTTCTCGAAATGTTTTCTTAACATGTTCCAAGTAGTTTTAGGCAGGCAACTAAAGTAAACAAGATGTTACCATGATAAAAACACTTGTGAAAACATTACAGAGTGCACTTAGTAGTTTCTTTCACATAAACTCCCCTTCGTTTCATCAAAGTTAAATGCACATGAAGCAGATTACTAGCATCACTGCAATACAGGATGGCAAGATCTCTCCAAAGGTCTGTGTCCCTCCTCTAAAGATGGTATTTAATTTAAAAAATGGTACAGCTATGATTAAGCACATCTAAACCACAATCAAATTAAAAAAAAAAAGGGGGTGGGGGATGGGGGGGTGGTAAAACCATACTCAATCTTCTCCTTCGTTTTTTGCCCTGGATGCTTTGCTGAATAAACCGCCCTCCTTCCAGTAGGGATTCCTTGAACGACTCGCCGTATAAGGGGTATATATTTCTATCTGCAACGGTCTTTAAACACATGCAAATGAAATCAAGGGTATAGTCAATTTTGAAGGAAAAGTCGCTCTGTGCTACTAATTGCTCCTTTCGTTGCCGCCAGCGAGACGGGCCCTGGTTAACACGCGAGACACGTGTGCATCCTGCAGCCCTCACCTTGCTTCCCGCAGCTTGGCAGAAGGCCATCAGGTCAGCGTGGTGAGACCGGACTCGGTTTTGTTTTTAGGCTCGGGGAGCGTTCCGGAGCATGCAGGGCGCTACTGTTTCATTAGGCTTAGCAGCAGCCCCTGCTGCTATCAGTTAGCTCTAACTGATACCGCATCGCACGATAACCAATGGCTGATGGATTTAAAAAAAAAACAAAACAAAACAAAACCAAAAACCCAACAAAACGCTAAAACTGCAACTTATTTCAAAAAGAAATAGGGAAATAAATGCGTACAATAGTCCGTGTATCTGCTGGTTCTGATAAGCATCCTCCTGTTGGCTGTGAGTGAAAGACAACTAGGATCGTTATTTGTACAGTGTTTATCTTTGAAATCAAGGGCCCTGTGGTGTACCTCACCTTGGGAACAAACACTACAGAACGATCACAGAAGAGTGTCAAATCTCTGGTTTTGATTTACCAACAGTTATGATATTTCTTCCTCAGGAGGAAAAGAAATGAACCATGTTTTAGACCTGCGAGTCCTTTTTTTCTCCCTTAACTGTAGAATCATTTTATTGGCATACAGGGCTTTCATTCCACATGTAACTTCTCTTTGCTTTTTCTAACGGGCCTTTTTACCGAGGTAAGTGAAACTAAGCAATGCTCGATTGATACACGGGCTGTATTTCACTTGGTAAACAAGAGCTTTTCCCTTGAGGGGACTGTCGAAAGAGCTTCACGAATTATACAAGTACCAGAAAGAAACTTCAAGCATCTACCTGTTGTCTTTTCATCCAGTAATGAATTCTGATAAATGGCAATATAATTTAAGGATGGATGCTCCACAGGAGACTTGGAAGGCTACGGTCTCATTTTATGAAGCAACGCTCACTTCCTACCAGTGTCAATACGCTGCTCAGGGACATTCATTTCTGCATTCGTTCTGGGTTAAATATCACTCCGAACAATAAGACTTTGTCTGGACACTGCAGAATTTGGATAATGAGAAAATTGACACGAGCCGATGGGCTTAAGAAAGTCACACAAAATCTTTCTCTTGAAAGGTTTCAATAGGGAAAAAAAGAAAAAAAGGTTGATGATAAGTGAGTGATAAGAGAACCAGAACAGTTGGAGCTGGGAGGACATGGAGCCACTTCAGGTCCAGCCTGGGCTGGTACTAGGTTTCAGGTTATTCCTACCGATTGATTGCACCAAGTATCTCCTCCAGGTGAACTGGTGGACTCGGTCTACTTACTGAAACATCTCCAAAATACCATCTTAAAATAAAAAAAAAAAAAAAAAATCAATCTGGCCTCTGCCCATGCCGTGTGACTTAAGGGCTGTATTTTCTACATGTGGTCTCATCAAGCAGTCCACTGCTCTGGAAGAAATCTTCCTGAAACCAACATCTAATCTGGAACAGGGGAGTAGCGTAGAAAGCAAGGGTGGCATAATCTGACTATACATGACCGCACACGTTATTCCGATATCTAAGGCTACCACAGCACCTTTCCCTTGCATTAAGTGCAATAAAAATTACAATTGTTTTAAAGGTCTAAATGCTATGGTATGGCATATGAATATGAATGAGCTGGCAAGTATGGTGAGATTAGCATTTATTTCACTTAAGTGAACAACAGGATGAATTAAAAGAAATGAGGCCACCCTTCATGGAAATTTATGACTAGCACCTTCTTATTTTGTAATCCTCTTGTAATGAGAACCTTCTCATTACTGTACCGTTCCTTACTTGTAACACATGTTTATACTAGGACCAGCGCTGCTCCTACTGAATTCAGGAGGGTTTTGCCAGTGGAAGCAGAACTGGCCCATTCTGTTCTGAGAGCAAAAACCTATCTGTATCACCTAACACCATCTAACAAACATCCTCTGCCTGCTGTTGCCCTTCCCTCCCTCACGTAAAAATCCACGGAATTGCCCCAGAAAGAAAAGATACAGCTGAACATTTTGGGACTAATTCTCCTTATCCATCCTGAAGAATCCCATATATTTGTATGGGCTAACTTCGTGAGATCACCACTGCAAATGGGAGCAGACTTTGTCCCTTTGTGCATTTAAATCATAAACATTGCTTGGGCGGTTGGTCTTTTGTGATCTTACAATCAAATAGCAATAGTACTTAGGAAAAGATCAGTGCCCAAACCTTCAAGAACCTGGATGCACCCAAAGCATTTGTGTACCTGGGGATCTACCCAGACAGAAAACTCTTTTGTGATGGGAACTCTTTTTGCTCCAGGTTGGAGGGGTGAGGCTGATGGTTTAGCTGTGGAGCAGCCACGTGTAAGTTATTAGAGCTCTGCCGGTCCTTCCCTGCATTGGGACGCACGCATCCATAATGCACTGTTTATGCAACGCGTAAAACTGTGTTCTTTGGCAGCAAGGAAAGGTCTGCAGCAAACTGCAGGGGCCCAATTAATACAATTATAGTTTATTTTTAGTAGTGTAGACTTTGTTCATTAGTTACTTATTTGACATAAATTAAATTTCATGTGACGTTCTGCAATTCTCTGTTCAATTACGGAGTTAATTTAAGACTAAATTTCTAAATTAAAGTGAAATCAAGGTTAAATCAAGGTTGTATTGTTTACATTATCAATACTGCAACATACAATTATTTAAATAATAAAAAAAAAAAAGGCTGTGGAACTGCAAACACTCTATTTTATAGTAAATACACTGAGCAAGACTATACTTTCCCCATGGGGCTAATTTACTATCCCCTGTTAAAACGTTCTTGAGCCTGATCCAAAAGCCACTGAAGTGAAAGGGAGCTCTCTGTTGACTTCAATGGGCTTTGCATCAGGCCGACGGTGAGCGACAGCACACAAAATTTCAGGGCATGCTTTCCGTACAACACAAGCGCCAAAAAAACCATCCTTACTTTAGAAACGACTGGAAGTCTTCACATACAGCTTCACAGCCTGGCCATTTGCATACGCCGTGTCCATAGAGCGGATGGCTGTGTGAGTGCTCCTCGTGGGATAAACTGGAGGAGAGGAAGAGAAAAGAGAAAAAGTGGTGTAACTGAAGGTACCACGCCAATTAATCTTCACAAAGACTCTTAAGAGCAGCAAACAACAGATCCTGAAACAACCCTAACATCTCATGGTACCCACCTGACTCTGCCCATGGTTTTTCAAAACAGAATTAAATACCATTTCCCGTGCGAAACATGTGTCATTCTTACTTAGCTATCCTCCTACATTTCATTCATTAATTAAAAGCTTTGTAAAGAATTTAAATTAACATGGACGGGGGAGAAATCATTTGACAGACCTGCTTAATATCCTGCTTGATATTTTGCTAAGAAATTTATGAACATTGCATATTTACAATTCAACTTCATCAAGAAGAAAAGTCATCTCCATACAGCAGTGTATTCTTCTAACACAATACAACCGGACCTGAGGTTTTCCTAATCGCTAGAGAAAGAGGAAAAGCATCACCTTTGCAGCCTTGGCTTTTTCGCTACGTAATTTATTTACTGGGTTGGGGGGTTTTTTTCCCCATTTTGGGGTGGTCTTTTTCCCCCCACCTCTTACAGGGTGTTTCTTTGCACAAGTACAGCCCCCCTTATGTCCCAGTGAAGAAGATTCAAGATGTATTTTCAAATGCAAAAATTCCTCATAAAAAAAGGACACATGTAATCAAAGGACTCCTCAGTACGAGGGGTTAGTGGGGGCTCTTAACCTTGCTAAGATTTGGCAGGAACGTCACAGAGCTTTCTAACTACTGAAACCAGGGTTAAAGAAAAACATTCGTATGAGCACGAAGGGGTTAATCCTTCAGCGGGATTCCAATCAATACGTAATGATTTGGCTGCACTGATCCAAGTCATGAGACGCTTTGATCTGGGCCATGTGGTGCTCAGGGAAATGTATCTGTTGCACTAACTGATGAACCATATTCTAAAATATCTTCTTTATTCAACTTCTGCATGGAAACTTCTTAAGTAAAGGAATTATTTTTGCAACAATTTCCATAACGTTAGATGACTTTAACAATAAAATGTCAAAATAATATTGAAATCTCTACTTTATGCTCACACACATCTCTATCTTTCATAGCAAATCTTTTTGCTACAGTATGCCTGTGCTGTATTACGAACTTCAAACATACACAAAGGATATGAACACATACCAGCATCAAGGTGTGGCTTTTATGACTTATTTTATCCTGGATTACAGGTAACATTATGGATAAGCACCTACTTTTTGCCATTTTATACACATGTGGAAATGCTGTTTTTTCCTGTTCTGCAATATTATCTGCCTGTGTACTATGACAAAATTGTGTTCTTGCGTTATTTCTGATGCACTGGATAGCAAGATGGCCATAGAACGTACCCCCAAGATGTTATCCCCCCAAATGCAAGGAAGTTGCATGAGAAATTCCCGCCCAGATTCTGCCACTTTTGACTTTAGGCCCAATAAGAATCTGAAGATAATTGAAGGTTTTGGGGTTTTTTTAAAATTATTTTTAATTAATTTTTTTTAATTCAAAAAAGATACAGACCTGACTGGAAAAGGTATTACGAGTTGTACATGGACTAATTCATTATTTCTTTAAAATTTTATTTTTTGCTATTTACAAATAGTTCTTCAAGGAGAAATGTATACATATACATGGCAATTTCCTAAAAAAAAAAAAAAAAAAAAAAACCCAACCAAAGCAAGTGTAGGTGAAGAGACTTACAAAGGCCTTTTCTATAAGGGAATATTGCACTGGTTTATCATTTTTTTTAAAATGTGCAAGCGGTGAGAAGCTCTATCAGATAAGTTTTCAGAAGAACAAAGGGACCGATGCATTCCTTGCAAGGAAATTAGAAAAATGCTACACCACACGTTTCCTCAGCTGAGAAAGAGGATGGCTGAAGAACACTGTCCACCCAAGCCAGACAGGCATATGGTCAAACGCCCTCCATACACATCAGAAAAGAATATTTCAGAAAATAATGATTTTTTTATCATCTGCTTCCATACCTGAATACAGCAAAGCGTGAGAAAGTAGGCTTTCATGTTAACACTCCATTAAAGTCCATGAAGACTACATATGAGAGTTACGAGTTCAGTGTGTTTGGCAGAACCCAAAAAAAATTTTCATTGTATTAATTTACACAGCGCGCGTTCCCCATATACCGGGATGACTGCGGAAACGCCGTGTGACGCCAAGTAAGGAGTCAGTCCCCTGTGGGTTTTAAGCACTGTAAATCTCATTATAATATCAACAGGAGTCACATGGCTTAAACCCCCAGCAGGGTTTTTTAAAGTTTCTCTGTGAGAGCCTAAAGGCCATGGCCAAGTCAACGGAAAGAGCCCTACCGAGATTTGTATTTATTTTTTAAATCCAAGTGCAAATCTCTTTTCTTTCCAGGGAACTTGCACAAGACAAGACAAACTATGTAGGACATGATACCCTGGTATTGTGTCCAAAGAAAATGACGGAATGACCAAGAGAGTATCAAACTGTAAACGATGCTCAGGATGTCAAAGTCTCGCGCTGTCAATAACCAGAAAGATTGGTGTTGACTGTACGCAGGAACTTAAAAGGTCATTTTGCTAACACAACCCTAAGCGTAACATACTTAACACCTACGTATGGCTTCCATTCCACAAAGCAGAACAACTACTTCAATTTACTAAAAATAGACACTTCAAAAAGAAAAAAACCCCAAAACCTCAGTATTGAAAGACAGACGCAGGCACCCTCTGTAGGCAGCTACTCCAGTCCCGCTCGGGGGGGTTCAGCGGTGCCTTTCGGTGACCTTTATGTGTCAGTATCAGATTACTGCTATTTTATCCATCCCACTTTTGAAGATATTATAGATTGTCGCTTGTTCCCTGATAGAGCCTTAAGCAGCACCTCAAAACAAAACAAAGAGGGGGTTTATACAGAAGCGGATGTAACACACAAAGGATACAGCCAGTGGAAATGAATGGAGAACTCTGTTTAACCGATCTAAGTACTCACTTTGTTTGAGCAAATAGAAGTGGAAAATGAAGATTTTAATCCAATACATAAACAAACAGCTTTGTGGGCACGATGCAAACCTATAATCTTAAACTGTTCAATGATATTTTGTATGCCTGCAAGCAGTTTCCGTAATCTGGATGCATCCTTGGTCTCGCTGGCGGAGACAGACTTTTAGAAGATCTGAGCATTGGCAAGCAGAAGCAAGTTTTAGGTCTGTTTGATTTCTAATGACACATTAGAGTAGGTGTTTGTTTCTGTCACCCTCTCCTTCCCGGGAACACATATTCGTGGTCGGGTACTGGTGATGTAACACTAGTTAGTGGAAGTGATTTTATAACAAGACATAATTTCAAAGAAGTGAAGGAATAAATGATGTAAAAATCAAGATTATGTGGGGGTTTTTTCTCCTCCGAAGGTATTTGCATACAAAATACTTAACACAATAGAATTATTTCCAAATAATGCAATAGTGCAGCGTTATTACATCGAAGTACAGCAAATAACCCTCTGGCAAGTAAAACATCTTGCGTAAGTCAGCTTATTCATGACATACGACAGAGTAACGAAATCTATGTGGGAAACTGAAAACTGCTTAAGTGTCCACTTACTCTCTGCTGCCTCCAGCCCAGTTTCCAGTAAAGAGGGGAGGGGAGAAGGGCCAGGCACTTCCACAGCTCCTCTGTGCTTGCTGGAGAAAGGAGAGGAGTTTTTACCTCTGCCTTCTTCAGACTATCTTGTTTCATAACCCCAAGGACCTCCCGGAGGGTCTGGAAGCAAATTCACCACCTACTCTGACAGGGATGGCTGTCGAAGCTGGTACTCGCACAGCCCCGCTCACCCGGACCGCTTCAGCCATTTAACTGATGGAATATATCTGCTGTGCTACGGCGTCACCGAAGAATCACGATCTGGGACACAAAAGCACGGCAGATAGAGAAACCACAGACAGCTAAGCCCCAGTGGAGAGTAAAAACGACAGTATACCCCAAAAAGAGATGGGAACACACTGGGTATTGGGGAAAGCAGCGACCAAAGCACTACTGTGAAAGCTACCCACGCTGCATGGTTTAATTCAGCCCATACTTACCACGCGTGTGAAACTGGGCACCGTGCTCGTACACGCTGGCAAAAAAGTCACGGGTGGATAGAAAAAGCAGCTAAGCGGAAGCCTCAGCAACAGTACTTCTGTCACACAGTGGGACCATATTTTAAATATTCACGACGCTGACGTACTTCATATATTCTACTCTCTCTCTTCCACATCTGCTTGGGCCAACAATCTTTGCCAAAATACTGGAGGAAGTCAGTGATGTAGAGAAGCATCCTTGATTTTTTCTGTTACAGTTATGAAGCATCTGCTCACGTTCTAACGGTACGGAGAACATGCCTGAGCCACCTGCACACCGAAAAATCAATACCACATCTCCTGCCCTCCTCTTGGAAGGGGTTTGAGCAGAACACCCACAGAAACTGCAGAACTACCTTTTTTTTTTTAATTATTATTTTATTTCTCAGGGGCAACGGAAAGTGACCTCATATTCGCCAGCTGCCATGAAACCGATGTCGGTGCACAGTCCAGGCAGGAGCACAGGGCTCAGCCTCACACCACATTCCCCCTCTGGTGTGGATGGCACAGCCGTTGAGGCAAAATGCCACGATTTTGGTCCTGTACAGGAAGAGAAGAGACACAACTGGGAACCAACACGGCTCTCCCATATTCGTGACTGCTCTCAAGCTCATCAAAACGCACCAACGAAATAAAGTCAGTGAAAATGTCATAGTTCTCTGAGTCAGAAACACTCGCTGTATTTGACTTAAAACCAAAACGGAAGCAGTAATGATTAAATCCTTGTACCAACTGTACTCGAATGCAAGTTGCTGCCTTCATCGCAAAATCAATTGAATAAAGATGTTTTGCAGTGAAGTTGCACTGGTGCAAATCGCCCTGAATTCTTACTAAGGTGGCTTAGCACCCCTTTCCTCTCTCAAACGTGAATTTAAAAAAAAATCCCA